GATGTAGCAAATATTTATACCTGAAAGATGAAGGATTATGTGTTGATGTAGTTATGTACAGGGAGTTGGACTAAAAGACCTCCAAGGTCTGTTCCAACTCTGTTATTTTGAGGAGGAGGGATATAAGGGTCCTGCTTGAGTAGGAAGTTGGACTACAAGATCTCCAAGGTCCATCCCGACTCGGTTATTTTGAGGAGGAGGAGGAGGAGGAGGAGGAGGAGGAGGAGGAGGAGGAGGAGGAGGAGGAGGAGGAGGTGGAGAAGGAGAGAAGGGTCTCCTGCTTGAGCAGAACGTTGGACTTCAAAGATCCCTTCAAACTCTGTGGTTCTGGTGGAATCTCCATCTAGGCTAGAGGGAGGGATTAAGAGAAGCCCAAGTTTGGAGTCGATGCCCACCAGGAAGGGGCAAAGATCTCACCTTCCCCAAATCCTGTAAGCCAGCAGTGGGAGGAATGAAGAGCAAATGGTTTCACATGCAAATGCAACTTCGTGCGCTTCCCAAGGGGTCGTGGCCCAGGGGCTGGGGGCCTTTGCTCTAAGCCGCCTCTTAGCCTGAGATTGTTGTAACATAGTTGACTAGAAACAAATTTCCGCCAAGACTCTTCCTGGGTGATTTTGATTGCTTTCTCCTGCCAAACTTGCACGTTTAATAGAAAGGTTCCTTTAAGGAAATTCATTGGGTGAGCGGATGGGGTGAGTGGCAAGGAAAAGTTAGTTCCTTCTTACAGGAGGAAAGTTGTGAGACCCCAGGAAGGAGGGCAGAACTGACTCTCGGACTGTATCACGAAATTATTTTGGCAAAGAGCAGATAGAATGAAAGTGTCAACTGTCCAACTAGTGAATGCAAAATAAGGAAACACTCTTGGGAGCTTCGAATTCCCAAAAGTAACACTGTCAACTAAAAAAAAATACTCCTTTGGTCTTTTTAGCTGTCAGCAGAAAGGGATTGGTGGAAAGCAGTGCATTCCTCAAATGCTTCAGATAATTGCTAGGCAGCAGAAACTGTTGGCGCGCAAGATTACTACTGGAGAGCATGATTGATGACTCTGGGCTATGGATGTGTCCCATTGGAGAATATGATTCATGATACACCCAGGGGGTAAAATGAATGGTGTGTTTAGTGTCAGGTACATCCAGGTAACACCAACAGCTCCTAATCAATTTTTTTTTACTCTGAGAGATGCAGCTAGAGACTTATGATTTGAATGGGGGTGTATTGTTGGAGCCCTGACAAAAACTTTATTGGATACACCGTTTTGGTACTGAAGAATCAAAACCAGCTCTGGTTTTGCTTAGTTAAACAATAACTTCCCTTTCTCCCCAACCCTGGGTGATCACATTGTCCAATTAGGAGACATCCTTTTGTTATGGGAACAGCCCATCTCTCTTCTCTCTCTCTCAAGCATCTGCAGTGGAGACCTTGGTGGTTGCCAAGCAGTGGTGGGTTTCAAAAAAAAAATAATTCCTACTGGTTTGGAGAGCTCACTTCAAACACTGCCCTCTTCACCAACGCTGGTCAGTTGTGCTGCTTTTTAGCTCAGTTGAGGCGTGGCAATCCACTCTCCATGCGAATCAACTGAGCTAATAAACAACAGAATATAGGAGAGGTAAGAGCAGGGACAGGTGGGTGGGCCCAGCCAGAGGTAGAATTTGCCGGTTCTCCGAACCAGTCAAAGTTTTCGCTACCAGTCCGTGAGAACCGGTCCAAACCAGCTGAATACCACCTCTGTTGCCAAGGCTCTCACAGTCCACACACACATTCTCAGCATTCTGTTTCTCCCTTCCCTCTTTCCAGTTCATTGGCAAGTTGAAAAGCATTAAAGTTGGAAAAAGGCAAAGCAGTTCAATCTTGGCAGATAGACAATTGGGGGATATCAAGTCAAAGTCAACTCTAAGCTTCTATCTACACCCCATCAAAGTCACTGCCACCCGAGTGACTTTGTCTCCATCACATCTGGGAGCATCTAAAGGTGACTTAGGTAAAAAAAAAAATGGTGTTCAGGACAGGAAGTACGTTTTCCCCAGAAGGTCTGTCTTCACACAGAAGATTGACTCGTGGTTAACTTGATAACTGGCTACCGAGAAAACCGTTTGCTTTGTAGAGCTGCTGAACCTCAATCTGACCATGGAGGCTTCTGGTGCTTTGGAGAATAGCTTGACTCTCTCTTCTTTGTGGCAGCCCCTCAAATATTGAAAGAGTGCTATTCTGTCGTCCCCAAGTCCTTCTTTTCACTAAACTGGACATACCCAATTCCTGCAACCGTTCCTCACCGGAGAAGAGGAACCGTTGAGGACAAAAGAAGGGGACAGCAGGAAAGGAGGTGGCTGGATGGAGTCACTAAAGCAGTAGCCATGAACTTAAATGGACTTGAGGGGATGGTAGAGGACAGGAAGGCCTGGAGGAACGGTGTCCATGGGTTGCAATAAGGTGGACATGATTTCGCAACTAACAACAAATTTCTATTCTATTCTGTTCTATTCTATCCTATCCTATTCCCATACTCTATTCTATCCTAACCTATTTATTCTATTCTATCCTATTGTCTCTGTTCTGTTCTGTCCATTGTCTTCCATTCCAGTTCATTCCAATTCTATTTATTCTATTCCATTCCATTCCATTCCCATATTTCCTATTCTATTCTATTCTATTCTATTCTATTCTATTCTATTCTATTCTATTCTATTCTATCTTATCTTCTCTTTCTATATATTCCCTTCCCTTCTATATGCCAGATGTTGAAACAATGGCTGGGCAGCCATTAGATCTCCCCAGACTACCTCTTGATTACAGCCATATTCAGATCTCCCAGCTGAGCACCTGTTTCGACCGGGGGGCCATCTTAACAAACCAGTTGCTCAAGGAATTGTGGTTGTGGCCTTTCCAAGGAGCACGGCCCCTGCAGGTCGCTGTGTCCTTCCTCATGCTGCCTCTGCTCCCTGAGCCACCCAAAAGCCTGCCAGGCAAATGGCATGGCTGCTTTGAACCCAGAGCGCCAGGCACCAAAGGGCAGCATTCTTAGCGAGGCAAGCTGAGCCTCACCTGACAGTACCAGTTGCTCTTCCAAACAGGTGGAGAGCAGAGCCGGGAGAACGGAGGCCCTGCCTGAGATATGCCTGTCTTACAGGTGGCTGACAGGTGGCCGTTCTCAGAGGTTCTCTGCACCTGCTACCAGTCAGTCGGGCTATTTCTGAATGCCGGGCTAGGACTCTCTGGAAAGAGAGAGCACCGAGGTCCCAAAATAGCCCAGCTGACAGACTGCAAGCCTGGCTTTGAGACTGACCTTCTGTGCAGAGCAGGACAATGCAAATGCTCTCTCAGCCTTGTCCCCCTTACAAGCCATACGTGCTTTGCAGGTTATTTATCTATTTATTAAATTTGTTGACCTTACAGGCCGCCCCTCTCGTCGATAAAGTGACTCTGAGCAACTTAGACAATTTGTGTGTGTGTGTATCAGTGGCAGGCATGATATTCCCCTCTGAAAAAAAAATCGGGGCCGGCCAAGAGACCCCCCCACCGTGTGCCAAGAAATCGCTGCCCAGCTCCCTTTTCCTGCCGCTCAGCGGCCTCCGCTCGCACCGCCCGCCCGGGCTCCGCTCAGGTATCCGGCTGGGGCTGTCAGGAGTTGCTACCGCCGGCGCGGCTCCGCGCGGCTCCAGTCCCGCGTTGCCTCGGGAAGGGAAAGGCAAAACCAGGAGCTGCTGCTGCCGTTGCAAAGCGCCACCGCGGCTCTTCCTTTTTGCCTTTCCCTTCCTGAGGCAACGCGGGACTGGAGCCACGCAGAGCCACGCCAGCGGTAGCAACTCCTGACTCAGGGCCTCCGAGGGAAGGGGAAGGAGGAGAAGAAGGGGGGGAAAGGGGGGGCGATTCCCAAAAAAATCGGAATTCCGATTTTAATCGGAAGAATAGCATGTCTGATCAGTGGTGGGAATAAAAAAAATTTACTACTGGTTCTGTGGGCATGGCTTGGTGGGCATGGCAAGGGAAGGATACTGAAAGATACTCCTAATCTTACACGGGAAAAGACCCGAACACACCCAGACCTACATACCTGTACCCGTGAAAATCTACGAAAACATATATATATATATATGTACAGGTATGTAGGTCTGGGTGTGTTCGGGTCTTTTCCCGTGTAAGATTAAGAGTATCTTGCCGACGTTTCGGCGAGGTCCCACTCGCCATCCTCAGGCTGGTGCTTTCGACTTCGTCAGATGAACACAATACAGAAGCCTGATGATGGCAGATGAGATTCTGCCGAAATGTTGCTACAACTTTAAAAGCACAACTATAATGACGTGGGAAAATACCCGAACAAAGCTGAATACCATACATGTAAGTACCCACGAAAACTTAAGAAAACATATATTAAATCTTACACAGGAAAAGACCCGAACACACCAAGACCTGCATACCTGTACCCGTGAAAATCTACAAATATATATGTGTGTGTGTGTATCTCTATCTCTAGATATATCTATCTCTATCTATATGTATATCTGTCTATATATGTCTATATCTATATGTATCTATCTATATAACTATATATCTATCTTTACATATATAGGTACATCTATCTATCTCAATCATCTCTCTCTCTCTCTCTCTGTCCGTCTGTCTGTGACTGTGGCCACTTAAAGACTTGTGGACTTCAACTCCCAGGACTTCATGCTGGCTTGAGGAATTCTGGGAGTGGAAGTCCACAAGTCTTAATTCTGGGAGTGGAAGTCCACAGTCAGAGACCTCTGGCCATCCTGGAACACCAACTAGAATGAAACGCACGCCACAATCACATTCCAACACTGGGGCTGAATCATCCAGCCTCTTTCATCATGTCCATCCATCAAATTCTGCTTAATTCTGGAGTGCCTAAAACAGACTTCACGTTGCCTTTGGAGTGGGTAGGTGAGCCCTGAGGAAGGGTGTCAGGATTTGAGAGAGGAAAATTGTGATAATTCACTCCAGACGCAAAGAAGCTTTGACGGATCCCAAATACGATACGAAATATCTCAATCTTTATTGAATATACATTGTGGGTATTTATTACACAAGTAGTTACAGAAGCTATTAATGGTAAAGGACATAAGCAGCAGTATTTTACAAACTTCATCCAGGAATAAAAATGCAGCAGAAAAACATAATGTGGGTGGAGCATAAAATAAGATTTAAAATTAAAAAAAAAACTCCCCATGGCTGTATGGTAAATAAGTCATCTTAGCATTCAATTATATACAAAAAGTTGTTTCCTAAAGGACAATGTCCAGCCGGGGTTTCAAAACTCAATCCTCCATGCTTCTACTAAATATATATACAGAATATATATTTACATCAAATCTGTACAGAGGTCTTTCTGTTTCCCACAGATCCTGAAAAACAAAGAGCAAGACGTTAACATCGAAGCCATGGAAATAGCTAAACATTTTATTGCAAAGAGGTAGAATTTCCTCCCTCTCTCCCTCCCGAATCCTTCAGAAATGTATTCACCTATGAAGAGTTCAAGAGCGTGTTCTGAATATCTTCAAAGACCTGCAGATAAAGATCATCCCGGGACTTCAGTCCGTCCAAATAAACTGAAAACAAGAATGGGTAATTACCAAAGTTGCCTGTCATTATGCCAAGAGTGAATGCTCAGCAGGCACGGAGAAATTTAGCCCAGGAATTAGTCAAGACATAACACCACGCTTCCAGTGAAATCTCAGGAAAAGCTTCAGTGAGAGTGTCAACACGTAAAACATTCCTGTTTTAATAGTTGCCATAAAAAAGGGAGGAGGGGAGGAAGGAAATCTGGAAGAGCAGTGCAGCAGTTTGAAAGCAAAAACTCACTCCAAATCTTCTCTTTAAAAGATTGTAACTAAACTACCAGAGCTTTTGCCCGTAAATATATCTTATTGGAGAACATGATTGATGACACCCAGCCTGTGAAGGTGTTCAATTGGAGAATCTGATTTATGACACACCCAGGGGGGAGAGGGGAAACAGGGTCAGAGGGGACTGTAAATGACGTAGGCTAGAGTTAGCTTCATACAGGGCAGTGCCAGTATGTGGACTCTAATGAATCCTCTAATGAAGTTTTTTTGAAGTTTGGCTCGAGAATCATGATTTTAATTAGGGCAATTGCTGGAATCCTGACAGAGAGGTCCTTCAGAATAAAGGTCTGTGGAGATTCTCAGTTATCCTTGTTAGGGTTGTCCCAAAGGTACTTTTTCTTCAAGAGGTAACTGGACTTTCTTTTCATTTCGCTTCTCCTCTGAGAAGCTTCTTCAGCTCTGACTGGATAGTGGAGAAGGGAAGGGATTTATACTCCTTCCAGACAGCTGGTCATTTGCATCCTTTTAGAGGGTCATTGAGGCCACCTGGAGGTTTATCTGTGTCTTCAAAGTCATCTGAGTGGTGCTAATGGGGGTAGAGCCTTCTGGGAACTGCTGAAAGGACTCTGTTGTAGACTGGAGATAGATGATGTTGTATTCCTCTTCCCCCAGTTGAGAGAGGGCTGTTAATTTGGACAGATGGCCTCTTTGACTTCTCTTTCAAGCCAGCGGTCCTCTCTGTCCAGAATGTGGACTTGGTTGTCTTCAAAAGAGTGGCCTTTGTCTTTTAAAATGCAGATGGATTGCTGTATCGAGTCCTGAAGGGTTTGTCCTCCTAGGTTGTGCCATGCGCTTGTGAAGTAGCTGTTTTGTTTCCCTAATGCACAGATCCGCCCAGGGCTCCCTGCATTGTGCTTCATATATCACATTGCTCGGTTTGTGTCGGGGTATTTTATCCTTGGGGTGGACAAACTTCTGCCTTTGTGTATTCTTGGGTTTGAAGTGTGCACATATGTTATGTTGCCTGAAGATCCTTCCAGCTGTCTGCAAGGAGTATCAATCCTTCCCTTCCCCGCCAGCCAGTCAGAGCTGAAGAAACTTCTCGGAAGAGAAGCGAAATGTCTTCAAAGAGAAACCAGAAAGCCCTGTTGTGTCTTGGGGGTGGGGGATGTTCCTTTAAGAATAAGTCGGATTAACATTGTGATTTGAGATCTTAGAAACAGGAAGAGTCTCTGCCCATTCAATTCGATCTAGAAGTTCGGTTATACTGCAGATCGCATCCAAGAGCGTCAGCTTGTGGGAATTAGAAGGCAGGCCTTCTTTGCAGTGGCCCCTCGCCTGTGAAATATCCTCTCCTTGGAGATTAGAATGGTCCCAACCCTGCTAGTCTTTCTAAGACTTTCTAAAAACCTTTTTAATTATTTTTCAAATTTATTGATTGCCTCTCTTACCAGAGGTGAACTTGGCTATGTAACCAAGGCCTGGGGGGCACTGTATTAAGGACCTCATTCGAGTCCCCAAGGTGCTTTTTCAAGAGGCAACTGGACTTTCTGGTTTTCCTTTTGAAGATGTTTCACTTCTCATCCGAGAAGCTTCTTCAGCTCTGAGTGAATGTTGGGGAATGGAAGGATTTATGCTCCTTGCAGACAAAGCTGGTCATTTGCATCCTTTTTAGAGAGTTTTTGAGGCCACTTGGAGGTTTGCCTGTGTCCTCAGGGTCACCTGAGTGGTGCAAATGGGGTGTGGGGCCTTCTTGGAACTGCTGACCACATCGTCTATCTCTGGTCTACAATACAGTCCATTCAGCAGTTCCAAGGTGACCCAGAGGTCACAGATAAACCTCCAAGTGGCCTCAATGACTCTAAAAAGGATGCAAATGACCAGCTGTCTGCAAGGAGTATAAATCCTTCCCTTCCCCGCCATCCAGTCAGAGCTGAAGAAGCTCCTTGGATGAGAAGTGAAACAAGAAAAACAAGAAAGTCCAGTTCCTTTTTGGAAAAAAAAATGCCTCTTTGGGACATCCGTGACTTGGATGACGGAGAATCTCCATAGACCCCCATCGTTTATACTGTACAGCTTGTAAGTCGTAGTCCTCAGTTTATTCATTTAGCAATGGTTTGATGTTTCAGCAGCACTGAAAAAAAAAACACAACCACCACACCATCTTCATGGTCACTCAGACAAAATTGAGGTGTTTGGCATGCATTTATGAGGGCTGCAGCGTCGGGGATGCTGGGTTTCGTTTAATGACTAAGCGATTCACAACAAGCGCAGTGATTCACTTAGCAACCATGGCAAAAGAGGTTGTTAAATTGGGTGGAGGATAACTCACTTCACAAGGGCCTTGCTGAGCCACAGAAATTCTGGTTCCAATTGTGGTCCTACGTGTGTGTGTGTGTGTGTGTGTGTGTGTGTGTGTGTGTATGTACAGAGGAGTTTGGCAGAGCTGCCTCAAGTTATAGCAGACAGGAATAATGAAGAACGAGCGGGACCAACCACAAGGTCACGAGCAAAGCAACAAATTGCAATGGCTGGCAGACTAACATCACTTCCTAGAGATAAGCAGTCCAGGCTGGGTTGGACACAGGAGAAAGCAACAATAACAGATAAGCCTCCTTCCACCAACATGACCAAAGCAAAAACAACAGAGCTAATTACAGATGGGAGGCGGTTGGAAGGGCCTATCATGCGTGCAAGGGCTAAATTGATTAATGATATATAAAGGCAGAGATCTCTGTAATGGTAGCTTAATACTCTGACGATGTCAGCAGAGGCTGATGAAAGCTTAGTAATGACATTAAATGTAATTTTAAGTTCCGGAGATCGATTGAGAGGGGCAGCTATAGAAATGGAATAAATGGATAAATAAATTAGAAGACTGTTTTCCTGGCTGTGAGATGACTGTTCTTATCTCTGTGGAGAAGTCAGAAGGGTCTTTTTTTAGCCAAAATTGTTCACTAAGACATTTTTCAACCCCATGCCGCTCCACTCATTCACATTTATTTGACCCAACCCTTCTTAATTACAATCAAGTTATGCCAAGGGTTTCTTACCAACGTTGACTTCACTGGCCTCCATTTCCTTCCTGTGCTTAAGATACATTGGCCAGACGTGACCATCAAATAGACCAGGAGGGTCAGGAATAGTGTATTTACGCG